CCCTCCTCAAGCTGTAGTTCAGTAACACTTTATCCAACCCCATAACAACAGGTTTGTATCTCTGTACAGACCTGAGACAGTGGAAAAACATGGAAAAAAATCTGTGCATTGTACCATAGATCTTGAGCTTCTCTGCAAAAAAATAGTAAATGCACATTGATCAGGAGATCAAGATCGCTACATTTACTATGTTTTTTTGTAAAAGGTGGACTATACCCAAAGTAACACTGATGTTCAGCCGTATTTCTTACAGTGCTGAAATATAAGGTGTGACAATTTAATTCCTGTACAGCTCTATGGTGTTGAATCACACTACCATTAGCACTTTAGCATGTTCTGAAATGTTCTAATTTGCATTGCCTGGGTTGCAGACCATTTGATTCCGTTTTTACAGAGTAGCAGAAGAAATAAAATGTGTGTGTGTTGCTGTTGCTGGAAAATGAGTGACAGTAATCTGGGGCAACAGATTAACATCAAATTTTGAGTAAAAACTTTCGCTCTGTTAAAAAAGGATTATGGTGAACATTCAATGAAGAAATCAAGTGTTTTGAATTGCATGGAAGTGGACAGCCAAGAATGCAAAGGATGGATGCAAATAATGACAGAGTGTGAACCCTCATACGCTCAGATCAAAGATTAAGTGTGCGAATGATGGCAGAAGAATTGAACATGAACAGGGAGACAGTGTGGCAGATTCTAATGGAGGATTTTGGCAATCTTTTGAAGAATGCAGAGGTGTTTGATTTTTTTTTACATTCCATATTAAATTGTTACACACACACACATAATAGTTTACTTCTATTTATCTCACCTCAATATGTATATGGATGTTGCTCTCATCTTGCAGATTGAACTATATGCATTTACTTACAGAAATAGAAAAAAAATGTGCAAATCCCCGATTGTGCTTGCAGATCATAACTCCATTTGCTTATTGCAGTACATGCTCCAACATTTATCTTAAACAAAATACAAAACAGCATCAGTGAGCTTATGTTTACTTTACTGCACTGATACACAATTACTAAAACCGTGAGTTTCACTGTGAACAATGATGAATTACAATATCTTTTTTTTTTTTTTAAAAAGGATGTCAAATTAAAGTAAAATGTCCATCTAACACTGCAGAAAGGGGGTTAAGAGAGATTTATGTATTGTGTTGATCTAGCAAGTGCTTGTGTTTGCATGCCACTATGTATGAAAAACAACTTGAGTTATTTATCACCTGCTGTAGGCTGGCATTAGAAAAGAGATTGGCTTGTTTCTCTGGGCAGGATCAGCAAAGCTTCTCTGCAGGAAAGAACGGCTCTGTCTTTATACAATAAAAACTTGGTTAACTGTAGATTTCCATAAACAATTTTTCGTACACCAGCAACACTTGTTCTGATTCGGAACTATGATTTTGAAAATGTGTGGGTGAAGTGGAGAGCTTTTTTTTGATGGATGAATATATTTGTGTATTAAAAGTTCTTCCAGGTCTTTGTTCCTGAATAATTCAGTCAGCGACATAACAATCTTCCATGATATTGTTTTGTGTGCATGGCTGATATGGGGACAAAGAGAAAAGCCACCAAACAGTAAAAAAACAGATTGCAGTGAATCACGGGAGAATAATAAATGTCACCTTCATCAGTAGCTCCGAAGGCTGTGAACACAGCTACACTGGCATCACTTCTTCCATCTCTTAATGCAAATGTATTAATCTAGCATTGTATTGTATTTTTGACTGCCCTTGATAGAGAGAAAATAGTACTGCTTGTATACATCTAACTTCCTTTTTATTGATATGTGCTGGCACGATTAAAAATTCTTTTAATTCAGCTAAGCATTAATGAAAAAAAACAGCTTTTATTTCCTGGCCCTAGAAATATGAAACTAACATAAATGTTCTCATACAGATAACAATTTTCTCATACAGAAAAGAAAGGATTTACTAGACCTACTCTGTAATATTTAACCCATGTACTCTTGGTGCCACCATAAAAATTAAAACTAGCTTTATACTGGGCAACACTAAATGGTGGACCGTGGGCCGCATGTGGACTGACTGTCCTGCCTGAACCACCATGGTCCCGCCATTTAGAAGCTTTTTGTGCCCTGAAGCCATCATCAATGTCATCCTAATAGCCCAGAGAGTGAGGCAGGACAGCTTGGAACAGAAGGTTTGCTTCCTGAGCTAATAATGAGGGGCTGAGGACAGTAATGGGGGATTGAGGACAGTAATGTGAGGGGTGCTAAGGACAGTAATGGGGGGGCTGAGGACTGTAATGTGAGAGGGGCTGAGGACAGTAATGTGAAGTGTGGCTGAGGACATTAATGGGGGGATGAGGACAGTAATGTGGGCTGAGGACAGTGATGATAGGGGGAGCTAAGGACAGTAATTTGAAGAGGGATTTTGATATGAAGGGGAGGGAACTTGGATGTACAGTGAGGGACTGTGATATGAGGCTCAGTTCAGATCTGTGCGTGCACATTTGCAAGCACACGTTGCAGGTTGGGCAGCCCATTCATTTTAATGGGCTTCCCTACCCAAAAGAATGGCAGGGAAGAAGTCCCTGACCTTTTTTTAAAATTGTGCTGTACCAAGCCGCTTGAAAATGTGTGGAGTACATTTAAGAATTATTGGCACCCCCGCACATCTAATAATCTAATAAAGTGCAGGACATTTCCCCGCTGGTTGGAAAAAAGTTCAGTTTTGCACATGTTCTCCAGACACAGGGATGTGACACCCAAGAGGAGCGACATGTTGGGATGTGAAGGATCTGAGTTATGGCATAAATATGTGATCTGGATCTCTGCTGGAAGAATATTTCACTGAATGGACCTTCATGAATTTTAATTCAGTACCCCTGCTTTATACCTTTGTGTTGCAGTAACATGTAGAAATTCATACAACCATACATTTTACTGAACATAACTACAATGTACTGTGATATTTTTATTTCAAACTCAACCAACACGGATGTCCTCGTTCTCCAGGTTACCTTGAGAAAGGAGGTCTTTGTGTCCTTAAATGCCAGTTAACTGCTTCATATAAAGAAAATGAGTGAAGACTATTTGGGGACTTATGACTTCTTCTTGCACTTGTTCTAGGTGGTGCCATCATAAGCCATGTACTGGAAGGCTACAAGGCTCTTGATGTATGAGTACAGAATGAATATACACACCAACATCAATCATTTAGAATAGAACACCAGCACATAAGTACAGTAACTGGCAATGGCCAATACTACAGTGCACCACAACCAACATGCATAGCGGCATGTCGCATTACAAAACTAGTGCAGATCCTTTTTTTGTCCAATTTTAAAAAAATAATTAAAAAAATAAAAAAATAAGAAATTGCTTTCTTGTAACTACTGTAACCATGGTAAGAGGAAGACATTTGGTATGCTCTTCTGTGTGAAACTTTGCCAAATATGTTATTTTCTGGAAATTTGATTGGCTTATTACTTTCCTAGCAAATGTTTTCCTCAATATTCCACAGGAGCTAATCCTGTGGTTTTGGCTCTGGCTGTGGCTCTTACTCAGCAAGGGATGTATAAAACATCTGCATTGTGACCACTGCTTCCCCAAAAAGAACAAGCGTAACACTCTGCAGCTGTTCCCTTTCTGAGTGTTAGGGGAAAGATGCAATCTCTTTGCAGCGGTATGACATACCTATAGAACTGAATAAACAGGGGTGAGTCAAACCTCTGTACTGCTTCACCACATAGAACAAGGGTCCCATTCTGCAGCTGCTGGAAGGGTATATATATATTTTTTTTTTACATAGGCTGTGGTAGCTTTGGCAGGAAAACAAACTGTAAAGTTTGCCCCAGGTGGATTGTTTTTTTTCAAATCAGTCAGCAAATGAATGGATTCCCCCACCCACACATTTTAAGTGGTTAGATGAATCCTGTGCTATTGTATTCTGACAGCAGGGACTCCTCTGCTGTCCGAATACACTGGTCAGCACTGCAGCTGCTTGGCTGCAGTGCTGATCAATGAAAATTTTCCAACATTCCCATTTATTAAAAGCCGATCATTAGATTGAGAATGGCTATAGATGGATCAAAATACATCCAGTCACAACGCTCACCTATAGTGGATCAGTTTTTAAACAGAGGATGTAGTGCTAAAAAAACACAAAACAGAATGGAATCTATAGAAACTATATACTATATAATAATTAAATATTTACAATCTCTATATTTTTGTCTTATTACCACTCTGGCTTCAGGAAAATTATATTTTTATCATGGCCCTATGGGAAAGCACAATTAGAAATAAATATATCAGACAGCAGAGTGCTATGCAATTTCTCTCTTTAAAATTAGGACTTAAATTAATCTTACAACGATAGTGGCATTAATTAAACTACTAACATTTTGACTGCTGTACTATCACATAGAACCTTCCACTGCTTCTAATGAACCTTTCTATGTGATAGTGCCCTGAATGTCACCATTGCAATTTAATTAATAGCATCCCATTAGCAGAAGCTTTTTCTTCTGTTGTCTGATTAAGTGGCCACGGGTTCTAGGTGTCTCTAATGTCTGCGGGTTGATTAAAGATCAAATGTTTCTTGTCTGCCTTTTTCTTTTTTTCTCTTAGAAAACAACTGTCTATGACTTTATTTTACTTGAAACTGAAATACATATATTTTTTACATATTAAAAATGGTAAATAACAGGAAATCACAAGCAGTAGAAAATTAGAGGAAATGGCTGGTAGTATGGAGCAGACAAATCTTCCTGCTAATATGTCAGTCTTGGAGGAGGCAGAGTTCACAGCAGTTGGGTAAAGGAGTTGTTTTCTATCTGTACCTTGTACTGCTAAAGTGGTATAGCTCTGACTCTATCGTTTGTTTGTTTTTTGTTTTTATTTTTTGTGACCCTCAAGTTTTATTGTTTTTTTTTTGTAGGATAGATTTTAATTTCCAGTGTCTGCTTTCTGTAACCTTGCTGCATGGCCTTTACATGTTTGGCATGTTTTGTAAATCTGTTGCAAAGGATCCTGGCAGTCATGCGCGGACTGACCATTTGGAAACTCGGGCACTGCCCGAGGGCCCAGGGTCAGTAGGGGGCACCATGAGATGCCCCTTGTACCTTTTTCATAGGCTTTTTTGAGTTTGGGCAAAGACACAGGGGCCCCATGATCCCCCCATTGCCCTGGGGCCCCATGAGTTGTCAGTCCGCCTCTGCTGGCAGCAACAACACTTTCTATATCACGCTGAGAACTCTAAGTTGCTGCTTCTCTGTTGAAGCAGTAGTGTCACCTGACATACAGTACAAGTCCCTTCATTTGGCCCCTAGTCAGCCTATCTGATAGACCTGAGACACAGCCCTATGGGCAACTGAAGATGCACATGCAGAGAATACTACTGCTAAATGTGAGGCAGTGGCTTACTGTTGTCAGCGTGCAACAGGAAGTGCTGTTATTGGCAGGATCTCCTGGTAGCAAACTTTGCAACAGATTAACAAAAAACTAAGATGTGTTTAAGAAAACTGTATACTGTGAGATATAATGCCAAACATACTGCAAAAAAACATACATTGTAAATAATTGTAAACTAAATTAATCCTTACTATAGCCACGATTTCTATGAAATTGAAATTAATAAATAGTAAAAAAAAAACAAAAATTGTGCTCTGGGCTTCCTTTGAGGCTCATGTGAAAAAAAGGCCCTATCATCTAATCTACAACCTGATCCTGATGCATAACTCTTTCAAATGCTTCTCCAATATTCCTTCCTACTGCTAATGTTGGGAACATGAGCTGGATAACGCTATAATGAAAGAGGACTGAAATGATGTCTAACTAGTGATCCCCTAAAGCTCCAACAACATATTATATCTTGAAAATTCATACAAAATCCTCGTGATGGTATTTAACTTCAGAATAGTGTAATGGATGCCTGGTTATTGGTCTTCACCCAATGCTTAGTGACTATGGGTTTTTGCAAAGCTTGGTGACTATGGGGTTTTGCACAATAATTAATACTGTTCTTGGAATTAAAAAGGCCCTATCATCTAATCTACAACCTGATCCTGATGCATAACTCTTTCAAATACTTCTCCAATATTCCTTCCTACTGCTATTGTTGGGAACCTGAGCTGGATAACACTATAATGAAAGAGGACTGAAATGATGTCTAACTAGGGATCCCCAAAAGCACCAACAACATATTATATCTTGAAAATTCATACAAAATCCTCGTGATGGTATTTAACTTCAGAATAGTGTAATGGATGCCTGGTTATTGGTCTTCACCCAATGCTTAGTGACTATGGGTTTTGCAAAGTTTGGTGACTATGGGTTTTGCAAAGCTTTGTGACTATGGGGTTTTGCACAATAATTAATACTGTTCTTGGAATTAAAAAAAAACAGAAAGCAAAAGAAGCAAAAAACCATATCTCACATCTTTTTTTCACTGCAAAACAAACTAAAGCCCATACTTGGAAAACCTCGTCCTTCATTTTTTGAAGTCAAAACCCACATACAAACCAAATTTATAAAAAAAAAAAAACTGACTGCAATATTGAATGGCTTTTATAAAACATTCCAGAAGATCTTGGAGCTGATTTGTCTCCTCCACTGGTTCTATGGGGCCTGGGGGACACATTTACCCTCTCCCAAACACACTATCTAAACCTTCCCCCTTTTCTTTTCCTACAATTTCACCCTTAGGACTTCTTTAACTTATTTCCCTTTTCTAACTCATAACGCAATAATAAATCTCATCTAGCTGTTGACACACCTCTCATAAATATGGTCACCTAAACTAAAAGACAATGGCATTATGATTCAGGTTTAACCCCCCTCAAATTATAGCAGCACCTTCTTCTATCCGGACTGTTCAATGCAATTTCAAAAATAATGATATATGTCTCTATTCACACTTTGGACCCATAGAGTTGCATGACAAGTCATAGCAAATTGTTTTCAATGGCACCCATTTGGATCTATGCTACTTAAAGTTTTAGTGACTTTGAAAAGGTTCCTGGAAATCGTGCAACTTTGGAGTCACCCAAGTGTGAAGGAAGCCTAACTCTTTATTTATTAACACTTTTCCTGTTTACTTTTTTTATTGCTGTACATCGTTACATTTTGTAAAGGCAACTGTATGCCTGTGCCAATATGTACTAATATATACATTCAAGTTGATTACTAAAGGCAGATAGGCTGTTCACTTTGCAAGAGAAGTTGCAGTTTGTAAGCAAATATTCCCTAGACTTTAATCTCATATGTTTTTTTCTGTTTTTTTACAGAGCAGCCCTGATTTTCCTTTTCTTATGTCATCTGCAGATGCTCCTGGCTCCTCCACCCCACGAGTGCCCACCATAGCAAACTGCTGCTGTGGGTGTACTTGTGCAGACACTGTGCACAGTGCTAGATCAGGCTAAGGTAAGTATGGGGGGGGGGGTAATATTAATGCAGAGAATGCATTAAGGTAAAAAAAAACCTTCAGCCTTTAGAGCTACTTTAATGAATGTGTCGAAAGTTTACTTTGCTTAGAATACTCAATCAGGTACAGGGGAAATACAACAAAACCCTGCATTTTTGCTTGTAAATATTTGGACGACAGAAGTCAGCAGAGCTTTGCCACATTCACTATGCTCTGGGGAAAATTCCATTGCAAAGTGTAATTTCTTTTGCAAAGCAAACGGTCCTTTTTTATCTTTAGTAAATCAACCTTGTTTAAAAAAACCTCTCAATAAAATCCTTTGCTAAAACATTTTCCGTTAAACAGGCTTATGGAACTGACTTTTAGTAGAGCTGACCAATTAGCTTCTTTGATTTCTGCAGTAAAGGAAGAAATTGCAGGCAAAATATAAAAAGTGATCCTTTACTTAGATAACTACCACACAATTTCTGTTTCTATAAAAGTATAAATAGGAATGTTTATAAACAAGAATTTATTGATTAATAGTGTTCTTGAACGCCCATTAAGGAAGAATTTGTACAAAGCGTTACTAAACCAAAACCAATATTTCAATACCTGTGTCTATGGCTAAGGCTTTGGCTATGAACACCTACACCTATGAAAGCATGCTGCAAAGCAATTTGCGTTGACATGTGTTTTGCAGTGCCGGAAACACATATCCATTGACAAGATGCTTTGGAGTGGCAGTCACAATGATTAGCACCTCATTGCACCAACACATGTATGAGCATTACAGCAACACAATCATGTCAATGGTTCCTCGATTACTTTTGTGAAAAATTGGCACCCCAGGTAAGCTACTGCCTACCCTCAAATTTTGATACATGACATGTCTTACTTTATAACAGATGCATGGTAAACAAGTACCAGTCTTCTGAAGAAGATTCCCACAACCCCTTTCTTAGGGGAAGGCACCTTTTTTTTTTTACAAAACAACTCCAGCCTTTAAATGGTTGATTTTTATTTTGTATTTTTTACAAAATTTCTTGATATTCATAAATATATGTTTGCACATCAGCGACATTTGAAAGAAATATAAATTTACCCTTCTGCTGTTTCAACAAAACTAAAGTGAGAAAATCTTGAAATATACTCAATACATAATGACACTATTTAATACATTCTGACAATTTAAGCATCACTTAACATATTGATATTCACTGCATTCCCTGCCCTCAGTGAGATTACAGTCCAAGATCCCTACCTCACTTGTATACACTGGGTCAATTTTAGACAGGAGCCAATTAATCTAGCATGTCTTTGGAGTGTAGAGGAAAATTACATTACACCCACACAAGCACAGGGAGAGTACACACCCTCCATGTCAGTTGTGTCCTGGTTGTGATTCAAACCAAGAATCATAAAGTTGGAAAGGCAGGAGTGCAAAACACTAAGTCACCATGTTGACCGTTTAGTTGCTAGTTTACGAACATCTAGGAATTTATTCTATGATGCCTCTAACCACTTCACAACCACGCAATAGCTGAATGATGGCTACAGCGTGATTGTCCAGATCCGGGAGGGTGTCATATGACAGAACGCGCCCCCAGCAGTGTGCACCCGGTGCTGTCAGTGATCGCTGTGTCCTACGGACACAGCTGATCACATGCCTAGGTAAAAGGCCAATCACAGCAGCTTTTTACCCTGTGATCAGCTGTGTCCAAAGACACAGCAGATCACAAAGCAAGTACAGTTGCCGATTATCAGTAGCACTTTCCTCACACTGTCACAGCATGAGGAAAGTACTGCTGATAATGGGAAAATGTCACAGAGGACATCCGCACTGATCATCAGTGCCTCCCTTGAGTGCCCAGCAGGGCTGCCCATGAGTGCCCAGCAGTGCCACCAGTCAGCGCCGCTAGTCAGTGCTGTCAGTCAGTGCCACCACTCAGTGCTGCCCATCAGTGCCCATAAGTGCTGCCCATCAGTCCAGCCTTTCAGTGCTCATCAGTGCCACCTATCAGTGCCCAGTATTGCTGCATATCAGTGCAGCATCACCAGTTCCTCCTCATCAATGCCCCCCAGTGCCGCCTCATCAATGCAGATATCAGTGCCCATCAGTGCCTCATCAATGTAAATCAGTGAAGGAGAAAAATTACTTATTTGCAAAATTGTATAATAGAAACAAAGAAAAACTTTTCTTTTCAAATTTTTTTATCTTTTTTGTTTATAGTGCAAAAAATAAAAAACCCAGTGCTGATTAAATACCACCAAAAGAAAGCTCTATTTCTGTGAAAAAATGATAAATATTTCATATGGGTACAGTGTTGCATGACCTCACAATTGTCATTCAAAGTGCAACAGCACTGAAAGCTGGAAATTGGCCTGGGCAGGAAGTGGGTAAAAGTGCCCGGTAGGCAAATGGTTAAACTTCAACGTAAAAATAAGGCTGAAAAAATTGTAAGGCTGCATTCATACTGTTTGTTTTAGGCAGTGAGTTTCCTTTGAAATCAATGAAATTGCATGAAAATGTCTATGCAGTGGTGTGTGCTAAAGGAGTCGTGTTGAAGCATGTGTTCCAATGCACTTTGTATTGCTCATCAATGTATATTCATGTGCATCAGCATGTGTTTCTATTCATCTCAATGGTTGCACAGTGGTTGCAATGCCAAAAGGCATTGGTGTGAATGAAGCCTAAAGAGTAAATCCACTTTTGTTGAGAAAAAAAACAATCCTCTCTGGGTGGTCTATGTACATTGCAAGGATTTTAGAAAACTTTGTTGCAGGTTCCTACCTTTGGTTATTCTGAAGAAATATCTGTTTGCCTGTGTCCATGTGCCAAGTGCATGTGAATGAGAGTGATTTTTAATTATCAATTAGCTGATGCACTTTCAGGGCTCTAATGAGGAAAGTGGCAGGGTCTGAATTCCTTCAGACCTGACTTCCCTTTAGGAGTATCTCACAAAACAAATGAAATTGTGTTGCAGAGGATGCCCAAAATTTGACTTGTATCTTAGTGCAGATTTCTTAGTGCATCAGTGAGCCAATCACACAATCATGACACTTCTGAGGGACATTCCTTACACCATTTATGTACAGAAAGCCTCCAGGTTGCCATATTGCATTACATTTTGCAGAAAATTACAGTTCTGCAGATAGAAAAGGAAAGGTAATTTTTAATAACATTCAATTACAATATGACTTGCTTAGCAATTGTATATGCTATATTGATTTTATTTGCTACCCTTTAAGGCATTGTTAACACTTTTAGTTGGGGGTGGTAAAAATGCACCGTTGACCCCCCAACCACTCCCTTAAGCAGAAAAGGCAGCACAGGGGGTGTACATATGCTGTAAATACAATGCTTTGCATGTGTCCAATGCAACCCATTCAACTGACACACTTGCCAAGTGCTGATGTGAACTTTAAGGCGTTAAACAGGTGGTTAGTAGGTGATAAATTACCTTCTCAACACCTGTTAAGTTCCATGTATAGAATGAAAGAAAATGGATCACTCTTTGGAGAGCTCCACATGTGCAAACAAGCCCTAATACTTCATTTACATTTGGTTCGGCTGCATTTTTATGACCTCTTTAACTTCTTCATTGAAAATGTAAAGGCATAGGAGGGGCTTCACATATGCTACAGCTCTGATGCTTTGCAAAAATGCGCCTGCTGACCCATTCAACTGGATGCGCTGGTGAGGGAATTAAAGGGTTAAAACAGCTGTGAGTGCTGTGGTAGTTCACTGAGTATTCCTATCAGCAAGTATCGGCTTGCCCATACAGGATGTACAATCAAGCAGATACACTGACAGATCTGCAGGAGACCTGAATGGCATCAGCTATCTGTGCCCCACAGTGCTCTGCGCTCTGACAATGCATTGTGATTGACCAAAGCAAATGCACCTGACCATAGGTCAGGTGCATTGCTTTGGCCAATCACAGCTCAATTGGGCGGAGCTGGTAGTGACATCACCGCTAACTCTGCCCAATTGTTTACATCTGACTGGCAAATGTCAGCTGGGAGTGATTTGCAGGTGCGGACAGGTCGGCAGGGTTTATTTTTATTTTGGTGAGTCGGTATTGTCGTGACAACACTGGACACTGTGATTAATGATGGATTACAACAATGGAACCATTTTTTTGGTTTTTCTTTTTAACATAAAGGACTTGTCAAAAACTGTTTTTTATTCACATTTTATACTTTTTGGGTGAACGGGCAGCCATACTTATTCACAAAGGGGGCCAGGATCTGGGGGCCCCCTTGTTAAAGGGGCTTCCAGATTTCGATAAGTCCCCCTTGCAGACCACCACATCCACAGCCCAGGGTTGTGGAGAGGAGGCCCTTTTACCCATCAACATGGGGACAAGGTGCTTTTGGGGGGAGTCCCTGTACCTCAATGCACCCACACATGTTGAGGGCATGTGTCCTGGTTTGGGGGGGGCACTCACTCATCCCCCCCTTTCCTGGCCTGCTAGGCATGTGCTAGGATCAAGGGTCTGGTAAGAATTTAGAGGGGACCCACGCTTCTTCCCCCAATTTTTTTGGGGTGGGGTTCTCCCTAAAAGTCCTACAAGGCATAAAGGGCCTGGAAAAGCTTTTACAGGGAACCCCACACACTTTTCCCTTCCTTTTTGGGAGGTGGGGTTCCCCTTAAAAGTCCTACCAGGCTTAAAGGGCCTGGTATGGCTTTTAGGGGAAACCCCACACACTTTACAAAAAAATTACTGTGGGTCCCTCCTAACCTTCTTACCAGACCTAAAGGGTCTGGTATGGATTGAAGAGGGGGACCCCAGGCTGTTTTAGTTTTCTTAATATGTAATTTAAAAAAAAAATTCAGTCCTGTACAGATGTGCAAATTTGCAGATAATTTAAGGGGACACTCCCAAGTATGATATTTAAAGGAATTTTTTTTTTTTTTTACTTTAAGCATTGAAAAATGACTGCCCCTTTAAAAAGTACTTTTGGAAAAAAATTATTTCACTGATTCATGTCCCTCAGGGCAGTACCTGAGTCCCCATACCCCTTTTATGGCCAAAAACTTGCATATAAGCCTTTAAAATGGGCGCTTTTGAATTTACAAGTTCGAGTCCCATAGACTTGCATTAAGTTAGGTTTGAATGTTCAACCGTGAAACGAACAGGGGGGTTCGGCCCATCACTATTCAATATACTTTCTTAATACTTACTTAATATATCAATATAATATACAATATATGCTTTAGATATACTTTAATATATAAATAGTTACTGAGCTCCACAGCTCTATACCAATGAAATGTCCTTACATTTGCACCTGTATATGCACGTCTCTAAGAACATATACTAAATCAATCCAGCTCTGCCTTTTCATATTAACTCTGCAGTGGTGTCTGTCTGGGCAATTACAATTATTTTCAGCAAATCTAAACTACAAAAAGAGAGCATCAGATATATAATTATCACAATTTATACTACAAGTTACTGTTGAATACCCAGTTTTATGGGGGTAAAATGCTACAAACTAAATATTAAGTATATTATATCACATTCTGAATGAGATATTGCACAGCTGTTTTAGGCAGTCAAGTGCCATGATCAGTGTTATTTCACATCTTTTCTTGGACACATTTTCTCTTTAACGAATGTAACACTGAAGTCAAATATTGTTTGTTCTTTTATTAAGATAAGAAATGTTTGCTCTGTGTTGGTTTTACTTTTGACAAGATAAGTATCGTCATCTTAATTACATGTCACAGTAATTAGCCCTTACAACTGTTTGAGTATTATCGATTCTTTTATTTGTTTAGCAATCATTCTATCAAAATATTTACTTTTCATTAGAAAGGCAAAGTTTGTGCCTTAGTTTAACTTTCTGATTAGCATAAGGATTACATTTAGAATGTAAATGATTTGTCAAGAGCATTAGTATTCTGAATATTAAAGCACTTTGATTTTTGTTTTTACTTTGAAATACAAATCTGTTCAGAAAATAGAGTTACAGTTGTTGCTCATATGAAGTTTTTGGAAGTAAAAAAAAAAACTTTAGCTAAATACCAGTAGCAGTTTTGGAACGGAAGAGGGGATTACTAAACATATAATCTGATTTATTACAAAACACACGCATGTACACATGAACAAAGAAAATATTTTTTTTAAAACCTCCATGTTTTTTAAAACTCCATGGAATCTATATCCTATATATATAAAAAAATAATCAATTTGCCAATATTTCAGCATTCATCTGAAAGTCATGAATATTAACCTGTAATGTTTCTAATATGTATGCCATGTCAGTTTTTATTGCCTTTTGCAGAGAGAATATAACATGCCCTAACTTTCATTCATAAGAAGAAGAAAAAAAAATCCATACGAGCATTTGATCAGAAGAGTTCAAGAACAATGTCCCATGATGTAAATCCACCATCATGCATGTCACCCAGTGATGTAGATACATGTCAGTCATGATGAATTAGTAAAATCAGATGATCCCTGACATGTCCAACCCTGTCACTTCCCTAGCACTGAATGACATCTCTGGGTCCCTGCCTCTAAATTAAAAAGGGGGAAGGGTTTTTCAGGTGATGTAATTGACCAAGTATAGACATGGCCATATTTGGTCAATGATGTCATTGAACAAATATGGTCATGTCCATATTTAGTCAATGATGTCACCCAGGAGACCATGCTTGGCCATTTCCTAAACCTCCCAAACAGCAAACAAATCTACAGCTCATAAACCTTGTACACATTGCAGAGATCTCCTGTTTTATGCTATTATTTCTATTGGTAAAATGTTCTTTAACTCCTCTGGTTGATTGTTCCTAAGGATTTTTATCGCTGTTTGGGAATGTTACATTTGCCCCTTGAGAAGCAAAAGAAACTTAAATTTCACACATATGTAGCCAGGTGCTTGGCTAAGACAGTGAGACCAACACTGGCTGCAGCTGCTCTCTGTAGCTGATGCTCAGCATTGCTGCATTTATTCACAGCTATATCAGCAAGAAGAGGGAGCTTCTGAACAGGAAGAGTTCAATAGACTGAGTCAG